GGCACCCCGGGGCAGAAATGCTGTGAGGACGGGGACTCTTCTCCTGGCCCCCCACAACAGAAGAAACTGTGACTCCCGAGCACCATGTGGACAAGGGCACCCTGGGGAAGAGCCAAGCCAGGGAATGGGCACCCAGTGCCCTGCTGGATCAGGATCTTACCGGGCATCCCTGGCCCCACAAAGACTCCGGGAGCTGAGGCAGAGACGATGCGAGAAAGGCGGCTTCCCCCACCCACCCGAGCTGCCCTGTGGGCACCCACTTACCCGGTTCTTGGGTTTTCCACCTGAAGCAGGTGAAGCTGGTGGCTCTGGCACTTCCTTCTCTGTCATGCTATGCGGGGAAAAGACAGGCATTAATTCGGCTGGGGCTGTTCCCACTGCAGGTGCCCAGTGTGGGCAGGGATGGCCCGACCTTGCTGGATGGGAAGCATCTCCCAAGCCAGTGCCTCCCTCTGCCCCAGCAGCACCACCTCCTGCTGCCCTGCCTGCAGCTCCTGCCCCAGCAAGGGCCGGTTCTGCTGCGGGCGAGTCCCAGAGCCCTGGGGTACCCGCTGGGCCCCGCTGCGCAGGCTAGAGAACAGCAGGCTCCCAGCCCAGCGTACACAGCACTGCTGCTTGCTCGGTGGACGCAGTGCCAACTGCTGTGAGCCAGACCCTGGGCTACCTGCACGTGTCCATCTGTGCCTAGACATCTCCATCTCACGATTGAGATGGCGCAAATGGTGCCGCTCTTGGCCCCCTAGGACAAGCATGCCCATGAATGATGCTGTCTGGCATCACCGCACAGCCCCGCTTTCTTCTCCGCAGAAGCCCCATGCTACCACGGAGGCAGGATCTGCTCCTGTATCCCCCAAAACACGCCTGATCCCACATTTGACTGTCAGCCATCCCCACAGCCCACCTACCCAGACATTGCTATTTTTGGTGATAACCAACACAAGGCCCCCACCACTCACCTGTGGAAACCAACCAGGATGACCGTCAGGGAAACAGTGATGGGGGCTGGGGAGTCCTGGGGCAAGGGGTGCTGCAGAAGCCAAGAGCCCTAGGGTCTTGCAGCAATGTGGGTGGAGCAGGGCCCCACGGGGGTCAGTGGCCATGATGAGGGAGAGCCGCGCACGGAAACACACTTACACTGTGTTTGGAGCTCTCGTCCTGCGATGAAAAACCCCACAAAGGGCGGCCGCTGCTGGGGCCCTGTTGGCTGCGGAGCCCCCAGCCCTCCGTGCTGGGCGCGCAGGGAGGGGGGCAGCTGCCCCAGTCCCGTGTAGAGCAGGAGTGACAGGCCAGAGGGGAACCGACAGCTGAGCACCGGTGGAGGCTGACGCTGAGAAATTGGAGCCTATGCATGAGCCAGGAGAGGAGCCACTGGCTATTTGCGTTAGTGGGTTGCTGGGCGTGCCAAAGGGCCACCCACCCCCTGGCATGGGGCAGCAGCAGAGCAAGGGGCACACTAAGCGCTCCAGCCTTTCGCGCTCGCATTTGGGGCTCCTGCAGCTGGGAGGGGAAAAGGAAAGAGCGGGAGCAGTGGGGTCTCTCATGGGGCAGCTCTCACGGCTGGCCCATAACCTCTGGCAGCAAAATCCTGCTGGTCTGCTCTCCGCTGAGACAGAGAGCTGCCACAGAAGAGAGAGCTGGGTACCCCACTGCTATCATGCTGCCCTGCAGTATCTCCCAGGTCCCTGGAGCTGGAGAGGCACCCCAGTGCCCGAGTCCCTGGACCTATGTCCCTGCCAGGCTGTGGGTGGCAGTGGGGCAGGAGTTTGCACCAAGCCCGGGGTTGGAGCCCACCCCTTCCAGGCAGCTCTTACCTCTCCACTTGCACCTGCTCTTCCAGGTAGCATCCAGATGCCACAAGCGGCTCCAGCTGCCGTGTGCAATGCCATGGTGAGGGTGGTCCCAGCCCAACTCCTGTACCCAGGACACAGTGATACTTGCACCTATCAGCCCAAGGGCTGCTCCCCTCTCATCAGGAGGAGTATGTTGCGTCCTGCCAGGGGATACAGCTGGGGACACCCTGCGCCCCCATTCTCGCCATTGCACAGCTGCATGGGAAAAGAGACTATGAATATCTGACGGGGGGACCAGCCCCAGGTCAAGGTGCTCAGTGCTCCTCTCCCAGTCTCAGCTCCCAGCCTTGGCAAGCCATCAGCTTGCAGCCCTTGTACATGCCAAGCACAGGGGCAGGACCTGGGCAGGAACACATCCTCCTGTGAGTGCCCCTTCTGCTCCCTGGCTGTCATCTCATCCCGAAGAGGCAGCACAGACAGCCCCTAGCACTGGTACCGGCAGAGATTGGGAAAGCAGTGTTAAAGTGATGGACAAGTTTTCTTTTTATATTTAAAAACAACCCCCCAAATAAAATAAAACCAAAAATACCCCCCAAATAATAATCAGATTAAATAAAATGTGCAGTGAACATACCAATCAACACCTCTATGTGCGGTTCAACACAGTGCTTAACAAAACAATATACACAGGGTAAGGTGGGTGGGCACGGGCATCACTCCAAAAAAAAAAAAAAATAATAATAAAAAAAAATCAATTTCTTGTCTCTTAATTATGTCCATATAAATATATCCAGGAAGGAGGGCAAGAGGAAGGGAGGGCAGAAAGGAAAAGAGAAGGCAGAGGGAAGTGCCCGCAGTCCAGTGTGCTCTGGGCCCATGCGTGAGCCCTACTGTGAGCTGGCACGCTCCAGCACCCGCAAGTCGTAGTTCTTTTTGGCCACACGCAGCTTGAAGCGGCTGAGGGAGTTGTTGAGGCGGAGGGAGGCATTCTGGGCAGCCAGTGGGCTGGGGAACACGGCCACGATGGTGTATAAGGCAGCGAGGTCACTGTGCCTGCCGTTCTCTGGAGTCCCGTTGTTGTCCCCGCCACCTCCATCTCCACGGCGCCCCTGAGTCTCTTTGAGCCACTGGATTTTGGCACCAGCCATGGCGAGTTGGGTGAAGAGCTTGTCAGCCTCTGTCCGCGTGATGCCCTCGGGCAGGTCTGTCACCTCCAGCACTCGGCCCAGCACTGCAGTGGAAAGACAGCATGTGATAGCAGCAGCAGATTCTTGGGTGGCAACACCACAGAGAGAGCTGATGCACGGCCTCCTCACCAGCTTTGGGGCTGGAGCAGTTACCTCTACCTTGCCTATGAAAGCAGCGCTTTGCTAAGCTGCCCCCATACTAGGAATGCATTTTTTTTAAGCCAGTCACTTCTTCCCTCCTCAAACTGCCCCTACCATTCTGCTCCCTACAGTGCCCCATCCTGATCCTTTCTGATGCCCACATGGCCTCCTTCAAGAGGAGACTGGTATTTCCCATTTGCCCAGGGCTCCAGCAACACCAAGTCCTCCTTGCTTCCTTTGGCTGGGCCGGGCTTTTCAGTTAGGGCTTTCCCAAGCGCTCTGCCCCGTCTTCCTACTCTGATCCTTGGGTACCAGGATTCAGAGCTAACCCAGCTCTCCTGCCCTCTGTCCCTGGAGGATGTTGACATGTGCGGATCCTGAATATGACAGTGTCCTGTGTGCTTCACCCACGAGGAGGATCCCCCTGTGTGCCCCAGCCAGTGTCATGCCAACCTCTGCCTCTGCTCTGTGGTACCCAAACGCTTCTGCTGCCTCATGGCTCCAGCCTTGGCTTTTGGGCTTAGTGGAGGTCTGGCTGAATGCATTCTTTGCTAATATTAACACAGCATGTAATGAACATGCCAGCCGCAGGGAGGGGGGCAGCTCTCCGGCAAGCAGCTCTTAAAGGGCCCCCTGCAACCAGCTGCTGTTGGTGGTGACACGGAGGACAAGTCTGAAGCCTCCATAGAGCCAGTGAAGACTGCCTCCCTTCCAGGCTGTCTGGCTCATGCCCAACTAGCAAGTCTTGCATTGCTGCGGGGAGAAGCCAGACACGTGCCTCTCCTTCCCTCGCTGATGACCAAGTGGAGACCCTCCAGGGCAAGGAACAGGGAGCACCTTCCCCTTTGTTGAGAAATGATCCACTGGGGATTTCAGCCCTCGCAGTCACCCCTGGAAGATACCAAAGCCCTTTACAAGATGACGGCTCTGCAGCTTCTGGCCCCACTGGGAAATGGAAGCATCAGAGGGAAGAGTCACTTGGGAAGGCAATGGTGGGAACAAGATCTCAGGGGTCCGGACACTCACTTTCTGCTGACAAAGAGGAATAAAATCCCAGGAGTTCTGCCAGCTCCACCTGCTCCATCATTTCAACCCTCAGAGGCAGGTGTCCTGGAGCTTATCACTGACTCTCCAACAATTTCCCTCCACTCTTCCTCAAAAGCTTTACTCAGTGCAGTCAGTGTTTACTGGGTTCCTGAGCCACCCCCGTCCTCCCACCTCCTGATGGGCACAGCTGACTAGGACTGGCTCTGCTGCCCACCCCCCCAAGCCAGGCCTCACGTGGGCTGTGGCTGGACGTGTGCTTAAAGGCGTGCGGGAGGCAGTGGCAGGCAGGAACTGCTCTCCACAGCCACCCCCAGCAACGGGGTCTATGGGATGCTGGTGTGGGCAGAGACGGCAACTGGAGCCTCTGCCAATGCCAGCTACAACCGATGCAGGGGGGACTAGTCAGAGGGCAAAAGGGGACTGTTTGAGGAGGGTCACTTGCCTACATCACTTGTCCCAAGGTCAGTGGATGCTGACTTGAGGGCCTGTCTCTTGCTCCGGTTTCCATGTTTCATTCCAGTCTGCCCCTTAAAGAACAAAAATGGTAGCACATCACCTGAGGAGGCACTGCGGCCTCACAGTGCCCACAGAGCATCCTGGGAGTCAGGGGGAAGACCAAACTTGACTAGGCCACCGCTGCGAACGGGAATGAAGAGACCTGGATGAACCTTGCTCCCCCTGGCACCTCTGAGGTGAGACCACGCTGGGGTAAGTTAGATGCGATCAAGGCACCGCAATGGTTCCAGGACACTCAAAGGACTTGGGGCTGACGCTGCTTCTGGGCAAAGCTGGGAGCGGGATGAAATTTTAAGCCCAGTACCAGGCTCTAGGGAAATCCATTTACAATGGCAACTCTGCCAGACGGATGGGAAGAGTGTGGGGTAGGCAGCCTGCTACCTAATCAAGGGGTGTCCAAGCACAGGGCAGGGCGTGAGACTCACTTCTTAACTACTCCTGGGCCCTGCCCACAGAGGGGTTGTCCAGGGGTAAAGGAGGGGTTGGTCTTGCTCTGCTCCCAGGACAGTGAAAGGGTGGGAGTTTGGCCCAATTTTACCTGGTGTGCATTGTAGTTGGGCTGGTTGTGGAGCAGCGGTGGGGGACAGATAGACAGATTATACTGCAGTGGCTGGCCCAGCAATGAGTAGCGCCCATCACCTGCAAAAAGGAAGTAAATGTTTGTACGGGTCTGAAGAAATCACAGGAGAGACCCAGCCCTGTGCTGTCCCCACTCCTTCCCCTTACCTTGTGCTGGGCCCATGGGCCGGGGGAACTGTGTGAGGACAGGGAGAGGGCTCAGCCCCGTGCAGACACTGTTGAGGTTGGTGACAGGAGACGGCGTCGGGGATTGGGTGGGGGACGTGATGGGGCTGTTCAGCTGCGTGCTGGCCTGGGGGAAGGAGAGTGTTAGGCAGCCCCGGTGCTTGTGACCAGTCCCACACCTGTCTCACCACCATGGGACGACCCCACCCCCAAGTCCCAGCCCATCCAGACAGCACAGATGCTGGGGTCCTCTCTCTCCCGCCAGGCTGCTCCCAAAAGATGAGCTGCCTTCTTCCCAGTCCTCTCAATACCTGAGCACTGGTGTCTGGGTTGTACAGGTCTCCTGGCTTCTGCCCCCGT